GTACCCAATCTCCTGCGAGCACCGTGAAGTCCAAATCTAACAGTCTCGTTGATGTATTATCGAGTCGTTGGTGCACGATTCCTGATGGTAAAGCCAGCAGAGCGGCCGTAGTGTTGAGCAGCCACATCAGCACCACAACCCATATCAACACGAACGGCAGGCTGACGTACCTTGCAGGGCAACTTGAACCTTCCGAACCCGAACTACCGTGCCTTGACAGGAGCAACTTATGATCTAAGTTCGACCACCCTCTGACAAGACCGTGCCTATTTGCACTACTGCTTGCTGCTATGCTATGACCATGATAGTACTAGTATTGGTATCAGTAGGAGTAGTGGTAGTACTTTTGTAGCAGAAGCAGAGGCGGAAGCAGTAAGACTAGGAGCAGTAGTAGGAGCAGCAGCAGCAGCAGCAGTAGCAGTAGCAGCAGCAGCAGCAGCAGCAGCAGCAGCAGCAGCAGCAGCAGCAGTAGCATTGGCAGTAACAGAAGCAGAAGCAGAAGCAGTCAGAGTAGGAGTAGGAGTAGTAGCAGTAGCACTAGCAGTAGCACTGGCAGTAGCAGTAGGAGTAGCAGTAGCAGTAGGTAGTAGTAGTAGTAGTAGTAGTCGTCGTCGTCGTCGTCGTCGTCGTCGTCGTCGTCGTCCTCGTCGTCGTCGTCGTCGTCGTCGTCGTCGTCGAAGTAGTAGTACCCGCAGTACTAGTAGTAGCAGGAGTAGCAGTGGCACTAACAGCAGCCGCGCCCACAGGAGTAGCAGAAGCAGGAGCAGGAGCAGTGGCAGTAGTAGTCGTCGTCCTCCTCCTTCTCCTCCTAGAAGTGATGCGGTGGCGTTGGTAGAAATAGTAGCTGCGGCAAGAGCAGTCGTAGTCGTCAGCATTGTCGTGCGATTATTGGCAAAACCGCTATTGCTGCTATAGCTGCACTGTTATCCTTCCATGTTTGAGAACAACGGATTGTATGGGGGCCATGAGTATTCAGCGCCAATGTAGTGTAAATCCCGATGGGTGGCCAGACTCCTTCAACACGCTCCGGCTTTGCTGTGTCGTGGATTCAGGGTTAGGGCCGATTAGGGCCGATGCCGATGACTAAGCCCCACCCCAAACAAGAACAGTGCTGCCAGGGCACCCCCAGTTCTGGACCATGGCACAATAATCCTTGGTCCATGTGCCCAAACACGGCTTCCGGCGTTGGGAACTGAACAAGAAGACTTCCTCTGACTCGCGCTATTTGTCTTCTAATCTTCGTTGCCATAGCTCCTCCCACGAAAAAGGCAGCCTAAGAGCCAGGAAGCCAAGGAAGCCAACTTCCCCCTTCCGAAACAAAAGATGCCTCAAGGACCCCAACCCCGACCCCTGATCAACTTGAAGTTTCTGCACGGCAACAGATGGGACGCAACTAAGGGGAGTCAGAGAAACGAGTCTTGAGATGCCGCAGGTGGCACTCTAGCGACTCTAGCTGCTACACGACCTCGAAGGTGCATGCTAGAGCTTGGGTTGGTGCTCTACTAACTCTAGCATTCCCCGTGCTCCTACCCATTTTTGCTGGACGCTGTTGATGTTACAGTTACAAACCGAATACATCTACAACTACTAACTACTGTAGGAACGAACTAGGCCAGCCGATTTGTGTTCTTACGTACATCTCCTCTATTTGTGACGATTGGTTTTACAGGTAGTTGCAGTCATTATAAAACCACTACTCTAGTTCCTCCTACTCTTAGACTGCTGCTCACAAGTACTTCTTAATTTTACATCGTATTGGTGCTTCCAAGTAGGCCTTTCTTCGAAAGACCCTACACTACTGGCCCCAAGACCCAAATCCTAATCGCCAAACCGGCACATACCCCAAGTCCTTGATGCTAAGCTGATAAACGCTTGAACCCATAACTCTGCATGCAACATGCCAAATCCTAAGCCCTGGTTCGGACCCCAAAACCTAAATCCTAAACTCCAAACGATCAAAGCTGCTATCAGCTCGGAGGGGGCGACGGCACGGCAGTCCATTCGCCAGGCAGCCGCGCGGCTCATCTCCATTTCCTGGCGGCTGTGGGATTCAAGAGGAAGTCGTTCTTCTACGATTCTACCCGTTTGGGGTTTAGGGTTTGTTGGGGGTTATTTTCGGGACCTGCAAGCCCAAACCCTAAACCCTAAACCCTAAACCCTAAACCCCGTTAAAGGGATTTAAACAGTTCGGGGCACCTGAAAGATGCTCAGGAAGTTGGCTTCAGGGTTCAAACTTTCCTGCTCTGGGCGCACAGTGTGCTTGTCAACACTTGGAGGGACATGTTGGGGCCCTTCAATTCGGGCCTGAATGAGGGTTTAGGGTTTAGGAGTTTTAAGTCTTAGAGGCATCATTCTTTAGTGAAGACCATTCAGAAAACTACGGACGTGCAACAGCCCCAGGCCGTGCTGGCCAAGAATCGGATCTCTGGACGGTCTGCAAGGAATGGTAACTTTTCCTTCGAAGCCACGGCCAGAGATCGTGAGGCGTGGAATTCAGGGTCCGTGATAGGGCCTTCCAGCTTCGGGGGTTTAGGATCCCATGAATCCCTACCGGACGCGGCTTATTGAGACTCAGGGTCAGGCTTGCTAGCATGATGGAGGTGTGCTGGTGATGGTACTGAGTGTGACGTCGGTAGCGGGGTCAAACCAAAAAGGATGCAGTGAACCTAGGTACCGCGGCAAGAGGAAGTCTCATAAGAGCACCGAGGCCAGAAAGCTGACGAGGCGCCTCTCTGGTGCATCGTGGTCAAGCACAGAGCTTCGCAGCGTGTTCGTCTCATATCCCAGAGCCTGTTCACAGTAGCAGGTAGCAAGCCAGCATGCTGGTGGCACTTCAGCTCAACTCGTGACCGCCAAGATCAAGGTTCATGAAGCTTGCTGCCTGTGGGCCGTTGTCGAAAGCTGCTCAACAGTTTGGTGTCTCCAAACAACACGAGTAAGGAGGCTAAGGAATACTAATTCAAGGGTGATAAGAAGCAACACTAACAATATGTAATACTAACACCAATAAGAACAGCATTAACAGTAACAATAGCAATGATACCCTACTGCAAACGTCACGAAGCTGCAGCCCTGCACTCCGCCACTGCATCCAAGCTGCCCCTCTCGCCAGCAAGAGAGCAAAGCATCGCCATCTCATTCCGCCCCGCACGATGACCTCAGTCATTACTCCATCAGCTACTTGGGTGTAACTAAGATGCTTTCCAGCAGCAATACTGCTACTTGGATGTAAGCACAGCTCAGTTACTCGAAAACCAAACCATGGCAGGTGCTGAAACGACATCTCAGCACTTCTACCCCTACGACAACGACGGCGCCTAAAACTTCTTCTGCTACTACTGCTACTGCTACCTACTGGTACTCACTACCTGCCATCAGCATCCATTGTGATCTTCTCGTTTGTCAGAATCTCGCATCATCAGTCGTCCTAATGACTAGTCGTTGCACACATTCACCCTGCTCTGGTTCAGCATCGCCTTCCTGTTCTTGAAATTTTAACCTGATCACGGTCAAGCTTGTGAGATCTGCTTCTACTGCTCGTTCTTGCATCTTTGCTGCTTCTCTATCCGACCGACGAAAGCACTAGCATGTTTTTGGCCTCGTCCGATGTGATAACCAGACACAGACAACTCAACTACGGTAACCACACACGAACTGCAAAGCCAATAATCCTGCACAAACACGTGGGTGAACTAGTTGACCAGTTCTTGAGCGCCGATGGCCTGCTCAGTTCTTCATGCATGTAAGTATGCAAGCAAGTGTCAAGTACGTCAGAACTGGTGTCGCGCTGTCCCTGGAATACCATTACAACTAGTATTGCTGTCATGTGTATGGCGTCGCTATTGAAGATGTTGCTGTTTGCTGCAGATACTGCTGCCACTGCTGTTATTGACCCCAATTGGCACTATCCTACACCCGAAACCCTTCATGTTTACCCCCTTAACCCTGAATTCCGCCTGAACCCCAAAACCCCAAAAAACCTCAGTGCTGCCCAGGCGCATGAACTCGTACGATATCAGGAGACCACCCAACTCTCCGGGGATGCTGGGCTTGCAGCCAAAAGGCACCCCAAAGCCGAAGCGCGATCATGGTGGCAAGAGCGTGATGACAAGAACGATGCTACCGGTGGTGGCAGTAGTGGTGATGCTGGTAGCACTGGTCCTGCTGGTGGTGCTGTGGTACCCTTGGTGCTCATGGCGGTGGGGGTGTAGAGGTAGTGGTAGTGGTCTTTGCAGTAGTAGTGACGGCAGCAGCAGCAGCAACAGCATCAGCAGCAGCAACTGTGCCTGCAATAGTACTGTCGCTGGCAGCATTTACCGTGTACTGTCATGATTATCACTGTAGCCTTTGTCATCCACAGCACCATCACCGCCATCGTCGCCATCACCATCACCATCATCATCATCATCATCATCACCATCGCCATCGTCATCGCCATACCGTGATCATCACCACAGTCGTCATGATGACCATCACCATCAGCTGTGAGGAGACTTGGCTCTGGGAGCAGTGCTCGTCGGGGGCCTTGGGAGACTGAGGTGTCCGCTTTCAATCCTACGGCTTTGCGCACCATCATCAGCAGCAGCAGCAGCAGCAGCATCGGCCTCATCATCCAACTGCTCCTGCACAAACAAAAAATCCCCAAACTCCTGTTCTCATGTCCACCCCCAGCCCTCAGCAACGCTGGATGAACATGCTGGCGATGACATTAGCTCCGGACCCAACGGGTGAGGTAGCGAGCGAAAGAACTAACAGAAAACTATTCCGGGGCATCCCTGATTGGACACGGGCCCTGGCCACACATTTGACCACCTATCAAACGTTGAAACGACAAATTTGACGCCTTTCGGCTGCAGTCGACCAGTCGCATCGCATCGTAAGGGATTAAGGTTTAGGGTCGGCGCACGGCCGGCCTGTGACTTCGGGTCTCAGGCCTTCGGAGGAGAGTTTACAACCCCAGTGCAAGCCCACTTTTTCAGGTGATGGGTAGAACTCAGAATCTAAAGCTTCGGGTTCACCATGATCATTCCGCACAGGGGTGGCCGGAATTGAATCCTTCGGAGACTCTTGAAGGTCTTCACCTCGTCTTGCAGCGTTAGCCGGCTGGAAAGCAAAGCGGCCCAGGATCTTTCTGCAAAGTGGCCTTCTTCGATGCTGTCGGATCGGGATAGAGACGTCTCTATTCGCTGCCAGATGTTCGAAGCCGGAAGGACCACCTGTGAATAAGACGTCAGGAAGTTGCCACCGTAGCACGCCGGCAAGATTGTCTGATTCTTGAAGAGTTCGGCAATCCCAAGATCCTTCATCCAGGCCATCAGGTTCCTGTACTTTGACTTAAAGGGCTCCCCTTCAGAAGATGCTAACTTGCTCGCAGTCCTGTTGTAGACGTCCATCTGGAAGGTGCCCATCAGAGCTTTCACATGAAAGATGCTGGCCCGGGGGCCCCCCTTCCGGAAAATCCCCATCCGACGCCCACAAGCGAACCGCGACGCTCCCGTGGCACCGGCCAGCATTTCGTCAAATGGAACCGCATGGTCACCGACCTCGTGCTCGATCGAGCGAGCAGACATATCGTTGTCCTTTATGAACCTCGGCTGACTGCTCGGAGCTCTTGCTCCCTACATAGGGACACGGTGACCCTTGAGAGTCTTGTGAGTCGCAGCCGAGGAGCAGTACCAGGTCAGATGCTTGCCGATCAGGCGGAATCTGGTTCTGCAGCTGCGCCAGCCATTGCGCGTATGTGTGATCGCAGCGGCCCACGTTGCGCGACCGCACCTAGTACTGCAGCACGACTTGTCAGCCGAAAATACGACTAACAATACCAACATGGTCGAACGCTTGGATTTGTTTTGGCCATCGGCAGAAGACTATCAGCAAAAGGCAAGACCATTACCGTGGCATTTACAGAAACAACCACACTGTAGAACAAGCTGTGCATACAAAGACGCATACGCTAGATAGATAGACAGAGGTAGACAGGGAGATAGATGGATAGATAGACAGATAGGCAGATTGATAGGTAGATAGGTAGACAAATACAACGATGGATGGATGAATATATATGGATAGATAGATGGATAGATATCACAAACCATACCGCCTGTCAGCATGCCCTTGCATGCAAATCCGACAGCTGCTCTTCTTGCTCTTACTGACCTTGCTGCCACTCCAACAAAGTTTCGACAAATGCTAAAGGCTTCTTCTACTACTACTACTACACCACCACCACAACCACCACGACTACCACTACCACCAGCACCACCATAACTTCTACTGCTTCCTGCTCCGGCTCCTTCTCCGCCGCTGCTGCGGCTACTGCTACTTCCACAGCTACTTCTACTGCTACTGCTGCTACTGCTGCTTCTACTGCTACTGCTACCGCTAACACTACCACAACCACTACCCCTGCTACCACCGCCAGTACAACGCACCACGAGGACGACCATGAGGACGAGGAAGGCCTTTACTACAGCGCTGCAAGGCTTCAGATATCATGGGCAACAACACACGGCATAAGGAAGCCCAGGTACAATCCGAGCTTGAGGGGGAGCCCCTTCCACTGGTCGGTTGCATTTGCTGACGACGGTCACGTTGGAGACGTTTCTGGTGACCTTGGCTCAACCGATTGGCTTGAAGTTCTCGAGTCGCTTCAGGGTTTAGGGCTTAGGATTCAAATCTGCTTCTGAAGTTTAGGATTTGGGGTTCGAGTCACGTAGGGTATAGGGCATAATAGGGCATAGGGTTCTGTTGTTCTCCCAGGGCCCTTTTAGACCCTAAAGGCTTGAGCAGTGCACCTGAACCTCCGACGTGCATCAATAGTGCAACACAGGTTCATACTTGAAGATCCATCCCAGCGGCTTGTCGCAATGAGAAATAACCACCTCTTTTGCACAAGGGGGAGGCGGACGCAAAAAATGCCCCCTAATCCTGTCTAAGACCCAAGAAGAGACCTGCAAAAAACCTCGCATCAAGACGTATTAAGAATGCCATACAAGGGCTCGCGACATCCAGGTGCAGCGGCTCTACACGATCATGGGAGGCGTCGCCTTCTGCTTTCTCTGTCGACGGCAGGTTGCCCCAACTCAGGTGCACCAGTGTGCAATATTGTAGTCCCAGGCAAAAACTGGAGAAGATGAAGGCCCCTGCCCTCCATGGGTTCATCGCAGGGCTTGCTCACGCCAAGTGGCAGATCCATGTTCATCTCGCTTGTGGGGTCTTTAGTAGGTTCGCTGAAAATTATACATTATTCGCCGCACTTTGTTGCACTCTCACTCACCTGTATGACTCTGTTTCGCTCGGCTTCAACATGCCGTCAGGTCTTGAGTAGTGCCATGCTTCCTCCTGCACTTACATATATGCCGATAGACACCTTTAAGGTATGTGTGCATGCGTGCTTGGTATGTTTGTCTAGGTAAGCAGGTATGTGCGCATGCATGCATTCCTCATGCATACAAATGCATTATTCAATACCTACTGAAGTGAGTGCTTACCTGAGTACACCACGATGCAGGGCATATTAAATCAATATTAAAAGGTTATCATGCAGAAGATCCATGCAACCTGAAGGGTCAACGGGTGACAACTTTGAGCCTGAACACCGAGAAGCTTTGGCATTGGCACCTAGCGCTTGGGAGGTTCGGGCAGGCGTTAAGCTTCAGCTCTTCCGAGAGTTCAGCCTTGAGTGGACGAGGCCATGTTTGATAGCTGATGGGAGAAAGACGTTAAGCGGGCGAAACGAGAATGTCTGCTGCACACACACCTTCAACAGTTCGAAGCATCCAAAAGACACCGAGGGTCACCCCCGAATTCGCCCACGGTGCCTGAGCTTGGGAGGCGAGGGTTAAGAGCCTAAACATTTCAACATCCAGTGCTAGTTAAACACTAAATGCGTAATAGAAAGAGGCCTTAATAATTAGGATAGGGTTTTGGGGCCCCTTATACTATAATTATAGCAAGGAACGCCCAAAAACGCTGCTCTAATTACAAAGGCCCCTACATTCAACGGATGAAGCTCCCGACCCTGAGAACCCCTAGCCCCTAAACCCAAAGGCCTAAACCCCGAAAACCTGTCAACAGATCCTCAAGAGCAGGAAGGAGCTGGCACCAAAACCCCAAATCTCTGGGCTTCATTGGGGCTGCCCCGGAGCCTCGCAGTCCCCAGCAGCCCCATTTCCTGGAGCCTGAGGTTTAGGGTTGAGGGTTTAGGGGTTTAGGATTTACGGGTTTAGGGTTTAGGGGTTTAGGGGTCGATCTGCTGGGCCGCCTTGAAGAGCGATTGAGACTAGTGGCTTGAGCATCTGAAGCTCCCAAAGCAGCTCCGAAATCAACATCGAAACAAGCGGGGAGGAAGATTAAGTCTTGAAAGTGTACGCAGGATAGACGCAGCACACCTCTCCAGCACGGAGGTTCAAACTTTGTGACGATATAGAGCCGATCATAAACTGCACCTACCAAGTTCTCATACTTAGCCCTTCACGGTCTGAACACTCTTCTTCGACTCCAAGGAAGCCGCTTTGACGCTCTGGCAACTTCGCAGCTTCTGGACAACGTCGGCAATGATATACAGAGACCAGAGGTCAATGACGCCAGGCAAGCAGAAGTGGAGACAATCACGCTTTGAAGGCGTCTTTAACAGGACGGTGTGGGCATCAGCCCGCAAACTAGTCGCCAACGTGATGTTGTAAAACAGAAAGCGTGGACCACTGCGCTCGAACACGTTTCGCCACTCTTCGTCTTGATCTGCAAAAGTGTGCCAGTTGAATCGCGTAAGCCTCGGGACTCGGTCCAGGCTAGTGATGGGAGCCGTTACCTCTTCACAGTTTGCATGCGGAAGGAAATGTGATCTGAAAATAAACACGCCGTGCTGATTTTGCGATTGCAACGTGTTGGCAACCGTTTGGGCCATTTCCGCAACCGCCGTCCTATTCTGTCCATCCCTGAGCCGAGCATGTTTGTGAGCACCCGTGTTCAGAATCACAACATCAGCCTCGTGGACGAGCTGAGAAGGCCAATCGGGTGTGACGACGTCTGTGCTTTCTTGCACAAAAGTATTCAGTCGATAATATTGGATGAAGCCGCCCCCATGCAGAGAGACAACAGACTGCTCCGGCTTCAGGTGCTCACGTTCCTCCTTCACTGCCACATCGCCAACGAGACAGCGCAGCGAGACGTAATGTTCCTTTGTTATTGAATCTCCTATCAACAGCACACGCCGACCATACAAGGCTTCTAGCAAGGAGCTCCTGTTGCTCAAGCTGCAACCAACATTAGCTGGCACCCAGAGCCAAGACAGCAATCGTCTCATTCGAAAGTCCTGCGCGCCAGTCGCCGAGACATTGAAGCCCAACGACTTCCATGCAGCATTGGGCTTCGCACAGATGTGAAAGAATCTTTTAGAGCAGCCCTCATATAAAGGAAAGATTTCCTGCTCTTGTTGCCCCGACATTTGTACCCAAGTGCCCGCCTTCAGGCAACCGCGATCTTCGATTTTGCACATGTTCGCTGCCTGCTCCTTGCTATGGGCGACGAAGATACCCTGCATCGATCTGGGAAGCGCCATGTTATCTGTGACCAATGCCAGAAAGCCTGCCAACATTGTGACTGTCAGAATGCATCTAATGCATATCCATGGCGAAACCATCGGAGATGCCTGGCGAAACGGGTAGCGAAGCCATGATAATGCAGCTGCGGACAACGCGAGCACTCATGCTTCAAAACTGTTTCAAAGCTGTCTTCGAGCTGTTGGAACTGCCTATTCCACGGCAAGTACCTTAGACTGCTGTTCCCACAACCATTTGCAGGTAATCTTTTCGTATCTCAAAACAACAACAACCTTGTAGACTAGTGGCACATGAGACTGCGACCGTTAGGGGCAGCGTCTCGGGGTTCCCGAAGATTCCCAGTGTGCAAGGTCGAGGATGGAAAGTAAAAGGCCCGCAAACTAAAGGAGGTTTCTTGAGCCTTGATCCTTTTACTTCCAACAGGACTTCGTGGCTCTTCCTGCACTGCTAGATCAGAATTGCTAAAAGGAAAAATTTTCTGCACGACAATTGGAAATTTGCCACAAATAGTCATGAGTCATGACAGCGATCCTCGCATTTGAAAGCTGGTTCTCATTTGGCTTGCACACTCTTGCACTCAACACCTTTTTTTTTCCGTGTTAGTCTGCAAGACCATGCAGCTAGCCGAGAGCCAAGGCCCAGAGGCAGAGACATTGGCAAAAGAAACTCCCCGACTAGACTTGTGAGGCGCCTCTACTGAGAGCGGAATATTTGCCGGACGACTATAAGAGCGCAAGCAGTATCCCCAAAAGACTATGTGGGGTATAAATGCCAATATCCTCTTCGTCCTTCAATGTTATCTCTTTCTATTCAATCTTCAATAGACTTCCAATCATGAAGAGCATTCACACGGAGAGAATGTTTTCAAAGCGGGTGGCGGCAAGCTCACGCAGGCATCTGAAATCGACTGATTTCGTGAAAAGGTCTTTGACGTGTCGGAAGGCGCACCTGTGTGCCTGTGCCTCCCCAGCCAACGTGGTATGAAATCTGAATATCTTCCAAGGGCGGGCAGGGTGGGATACCAAAATCTTGTCTGCTCCTGAGCCTGAACTCTGACGAAACTGTCACGCACTCTGCGCGAAGTCAACATCGACTGAACAAGTACGTTGGGAAGACTGGCAGCGCGCCCTTTTTTCCCTCACACTCTAATGCTCGCTAGGTTGTCTCAACTTTCTGTCATTAAAGTCCTGGCCCTGCGCTGTTGGCAGGCTGCACGTCCGCCCTCTGGTGGAATGCTAGGTCTGCTGCTTCAACTTTCTATCAAAACCGCAATCCCCCAGTCTGGGCTTCTCAATGCTTCCCGATGGTTTCAACTGCATCAGAAGATTCTCCAGCGTTTGGGCTTCGTGTCACTTTCAAGAGCAGGGGCCATCTGGTTGAGCAGAGCGTGCACCGACGGCGACGCTGCGCAAAACCGCTCATCCGCCTTAGTGGTGGCCTTGACATAGATGCAGTGGGTGCCTTGCGCCTTCACCGCCTGTGCTAGGTGCTTGCTGGTGAAACGTGCCCTGAAGTCCTTGGACATCACGCACTGGTGAAACGGGGCGTCAGCCACACGGCGGGCCACCTCCTTGGCGGCCTTGACCTCTTTTGGCCCGAAGCCGCCCTGCGCATCGATGCCGAGGAAGCCCAGGATCTGCTGCTCCTGGCACATGGCAAAAAACACTGCACAAAACAAAGGCGCAAGTCGAACCCGTCCTGCTCGCCGACGGCTTCCTGCCGGACCTGCTCGAAGGTCTGGATCTTCAGGTTCTTGGCAAGCTCCTGCGAGGCTGGAAAGGCTTCGCAAAGTGCACACACCGCGCTTAACTCCGAGGGCCTCCAACTTCCCTACGTTGCCGCCGGTGAGCTGCAAAAGGTCAGCTTTGTGCTCGACAGCCGTGTCTCCACCGTGGTGCTGGAGGAACTCATGGACCTGGTCAGGGAGCATGCCAAG